CATATCGAATAAAGAAGAAAAACATAAACCGACTTATAAAATATTGGACTACTTCTCTCAACAAAGCCGACCTTTTAAGATGAATACTCAATTTTAACATGGTAGTAGGGTTCATTAAACTTCAAGGAGAAATTGATCAGATTAAAACTCAAAATAAATGTGCAAGCGAATTTCAAGAATGGTTTGTTCAAATGAGTCATCATCTTGCTGTGACATGTTAAGGGATAAAATCTCACATCGAATAAAGATAAAAATATAAACTAATTTATAAAAAATTGATCTACTCCTCTTACTAAGATTGATATTTTAAGATGCAATCCCAAATCTTAATATGATATCAGAACTTATTAAGTTCCAACGAACAATTCGATTCAATTAAAATTTAAAAGCGAGTACGCGAATTTCAAGATCGATATGTTCAAACGAGCCACCATCTTGTGGGAGCATGCTAAGGGATAAAATCTCATATCGAATAAAAAAAATATAGATCAACTTATAAAGAATTGAGTTATTTATTTTAACAAGATTTGACTTTTTAAGATGAAATCTTAAATCTTAACAAACGATAGTTAGTGACAAAAAATCATAAACACGATCTCAATTTAAGTGACATATGGATAGAGAAAGAACAACTAGCAGTAGCCAATACCAGAAACATAATGAATCTAAATGTCATCTCCAAAGAAGATTTACGTCATAAGACTAAATTGTTTTGTCCTGTATTATAATGTTCTATGGATTGGGATTGAAGTGATCGATTTGTCCAAAAAAAAATTGATTCAAATACAAAAACGTCTACAGCAAAAGGTAACCTCAAAGATAAAAAGTGCCGCAATTAGCAAGTTGCCATGCTGCTTAATCAAAGTCATGCATGCATGCATAAAGTTGAGCTGCCAACTTGATTTTTTTTGTCGTATATTCCAAAGGATGAGAGCACAATATAGCCATCTCTTACGTGATACATTGTACATTCTTTTAACTCTCTTTCTTTAGATAATTTTTTTTTATTAAAAGGGGATACTTTCTCATGATTTTTAATTCCCATGAAATTTTGAGATCTCCTTTATATATTGTAAATAGGATAATTGACACAAAAAGTTTGTATCATTTGCTTTCACAGTGCAAGTCGTTCATATCGTTTCACTTTTGGCATATGAATCCTCAAATTGACCAAAATGCAAATCATCCATGTGGTCTCACTATGCTAATTTGCCCCATCAAATGGTCACTTGTGCAATCCACTACTGTGATCTCGTCTAATGCCAATTTGGCCGACACTAATTCGAAAAATATCAAATTTAGATGTACGATGAGCTAGCAAGTCAACTTTTGAGTTTTCTAGGCAAATATCGAATTTGTGGGACAAACCTCGAGTTTGCTAGGCAAAAGTCAAGTATATTGGGCAAATCTCGAGTTTGCTTAGCAAATCTCAACTTTCTAACTTCAAATGAGCATAATTTTTTATTTACAACTCCGAAATGTATTCCCATTTTTGCATTAACTCTAAATTAAATTTTCATTTCAATGATATATATTTTTTCATATGGAGATGTGTATCAAAAGTTGTGCACTAATTCCTCACGTTCCATAGCAAACTTGAGATTTATCCAACAAATTCAAGGTTTGACCAAAAAACTTGAGATTAGATTTGACCCATGGATTTGTCAAATGTCACAAAAATCAATATTTGCCCAACCTATCTTGATTGGGCAAATCAAACAAGTAGACTTGATGCTATCATTTGACGGAGTATATGAATGAAATGAGACAACACATAATTGTTAATATGAGGTTTTGACGGAGTAAATGAATGAAATGAGACAACACACATGATTTGGACAAAGAATTGTTAATATGAGGTCCAATTGTCAAAAGTAACAATAAGAACGATTTGTACGAGGAAAGAAAATGACACAAATGTTTTGTGCCATATATCTATTGTAGATACGTACAATTTTCAATTTAACACGACTTAAAATGAACTAAAGCGATCCATTTTTGCTCATAAAGATTCGAAATTTATTGATGTCGGAACCATTGATATTTTGCGATGGACATCAAAAGTCAATGGAAACGTCTCTTTTCCTATATTTTACAAAAGTGCCTACTCATTTCCCGATAGGCCAAAACTTGTCGGAAAAAACTGTAAATTTCCAACGGCTCTCCGTTGAAAATATTGGTTAGTTATTGAAAAGTTCCCACTTTCTTCATTTTTAAAATAGATTTTCAAATTTTCGACAGCAAAACTTGTAAGTCGTAACTCGTTGGAAAAGTAACGCAAATAATTCTTATGATGGACTTCCATCCCAGTTAGAAAGTTCTCTATTTTTAAATGCCTTCTCGAAAGGTTATAAATATTCGATCGCCCGAGACTCATGCCTCCAAATTAGTAGTTTCACACTACATTTTTTATTAGTTATATACTATATTTTAACAAATTATTAGACTTGCACATTGTTACGCTGCTGTCACCGCCACTACCACCGATGCCCCACCACAAATCACTAAAAATCACCACTATCAGTCACCAGTCACCACCCACACCAAAAAGAAGGGAAAAAAAAAACAATTTTAAAGGTCACTGAAATTGAAAATTTCGCCGACAGGAAAATTATCAAAATATCACCACCATAAAAATTAAGCACCCCAAACCTTATCCCGATTCCCACCACTCCCGCAACCAATTTGCATATAACACTCAAAAATTCGGATCAAGATCAGAAAATTTCAAATCTAGATCTCAAACTGATGGAGACAGTCAGTTTACAATCGGAGATCTATGGCTTCGGTGGCAATAGGTTGTTGGTGGCAGCGGGGAAGATTATGTGGTGGTGCTGGGTGAATTTTGGAGTTTTTTTAGAGTATGAATCTAATCATGGTGGGTAAGATCATACTAGTTGTAAACGTGGATATTGTGGTGGCAATGACGGCGCATGAGATTGTAGGTGGTGGTGGCAGCAGCAACAGGGTGGGTACGGGTAGCAGTGGCGATTGAGATTGAAATCTGAATTTTTAATTTGGGCAGTAGTTTTGTAATAAAAAAAAGACATATGAACAGTACAACTGAAAATAAAAACAAATTATATACGTAGAAGTCGAGACAAAAAAAAAAGTTTAAAAAACCTACCAGCCCCAACTGGACAGTCGGCACAGCCCATCTTACACCCCTAGTTGTACTCCAATGGCATTCGATCCTCATATAAAACAAATTATAAGCAAAGCACGACATTCTACAGTAACTGCATGAACAAAAAGAAAAAAAGGAAAAACGCTCACAAGGAATTCAAATTTCATCATTTAACCCGTAATTATCCTAGTTAGGATTAAACCATCATGCACCTTGATTTTTCCCAAAACACAAAGTACAACATTTAAGTTGAAATATTAGCCATTAGATACAGCCGTATAGATAAACATAATCCTCGTTTCGCCTTTGTGGCATAACAGAGGAAAAACTGTATTTATCTGCACCAAGATATATGAGATAATACCGCTTTTCGGGTCTGCCAAGTCAGTGCCTTTCGACCTTCAAATCTGATATGCCAATGCCAGACGTTTAAAGGGCACAAAACTACCCAGAAGAAAGCACGAGGGCTTCAAATATGATTCAGTTAGCTTCAGCTTGTTAATATGTCACTGAAGTATAGGAATGAAGTTCATCATGATTTAAAAGATGAAAACTTTCATGCTCTTTGTTCATAGGTACTTTCATGAACTGGGATCCCAGGTCCGTATATCAAATGACATCGATCATTAAAAGAACCAACAAGATGGGATACCACTTCCTTGAGGAACATATTCGCCATCTGTCAGCCAAAAACCATTGAATTCTTAAAACAGCTTAGCAGTGCCACTAGAAAGGCTAAAATGATAACAATTAGGATGCATTTGGTTTGTTGTTTTTAAACTGCTTTCAGTTTTCAATTTTGGAAAACACCCAAAACGTATTTGGTATGGTATTTTCGAAAATGCATTTTTGAAAACAAGGTAAATATATAACATAAAACTCAAAATGCATTTTTGACATTTTGAGTCAAAACACTCAAAATACAAAATTAAAACAAATCAAATTAAAACACTACAATTGTTTTTCCCTTCTCTCACTCTTAACCCTAGTGCTTCATTATCCATTTCTTCCTTCCCTTGCTGTCTTCAGATCAATTCTGGCAACCAGCCCTCCATTCCGGCAACAGCTCCCTGATCCTCTCTCTCTCTCTGTGCAAGAATCTCTCTCTTTCTACTCTAGTTGATCGTAAATTTCAGGTAAATATCTTTCTTCATTAAGTTCTAAAATGTCAAAAAAACAAGAAGCGTTTGAAATGGATTATCACCTAAAGCTTTATTTCAGTGCTATTGAAGTCAATTTCTATTAATTTTTTACCATATTCCGACCAATCTGTCTTTCAAGTTTGGGCTCGGTTTGAAATTTGTGTTGAAGCACTCGGGCTCATTTTTGGGTGGCCGAAACTTTCTTGTAAGAGTGAGGATTTTGATTTAGTGAGACAAGGAAAACATTGATTGGGTCAAAACTGATGAAAAAATGATTAGTATACATTGGTGATAAGGTTAATATGGTGTGGTTATATTTAAACTCAGTTAATACGGTGTTTCCACTCAGCTACCTCCAATATCAGATGAAGAGAGACAACTAGAAGATGATTTTTTGAGCAGGGGAGCATGTACATGTGGAAAATGATGAGGATGAAGTTTCTAGTATTGTCAGCCACATAGGACACCTAACAAACATTGCCAAACGTCACCATATCACAAAAGGTGAAAAACTTGAGGAATGCATGATGCAATGGTCATCTATAGTTAATATGAAAAATAGGAAATTGAACTTAGGATGTTATATCTTAAAGAAAAGCTTGCACGCATTCAAGAAAAGTCAACTAATCATGCGAGGGTTAGTGAAGCTATTATTGGATACTTATTCAAATATGGTGTGCCTAAAACATCTTAAACAACATGAAAGGAGTGTCTAATGAGTTTTCTATGAAAGTAGTAAGGCTTTTAAGGATCTAAATTTCAAGATGACATTTGTGATTGTGCCTGAAATTAGTAGAGGACCTATCTTGGAACTTCTTTG